TTAACTGTTGGAGCTCAAACTGAGAACCTTGATTCTCTCATTTCAATGTAGGATCTGAGGATCAAACTCAGGCTATCAGGTTTTTGAGGCAAGCGCCGTTACCCACTGAGCCATCTTGCTGGCCAATTTTCTTTTTTTCTTTCCTTTTTTTTGGGGGGGGGCAGGATCTCAGGTAGCCCAGGTTGGCCTTGAACTCTCTTTTAGGAGAGGATTATGCTGGACCTTCAGCCTCTGCCCCCAAGGGCTTTGGGGCTCATGTCTCTGTGCCACCACACCACCTCCAACTTCTGCACAAAATCATCTTAACTGGTAAAGCTCGCGTAGGGAAAATCTCTCAATTGCACTTTAAAATTGTTTAGTATTTATTATCTCTGTTTTAGTTTCTTGAGACAGGGTTTCTCTGTGTAACCGCAGTGGCTGTCCTGAAACTTGGTTTACAGACCAAGGTGGCCTTGAATTTAAGAGATCCGCTTGCAGGGACTGGAGAGATGGTTCAGTGGTTAAGAGCATTGCCTGCTCTTCCAAAGGTTCTGAGTTCAATTCCCAGCAATCACATGGTGGCTCACAGAGGTCTGGTGCCTCTTCTAGCCTGCAGACATACACACAGACAGAATATTGTATACATAATAAATAAATAAATTTAAAAAAAAAGAGAGAGAGATCCGCTTGCCTCTAACCCCCAGTGCTGTGGTTAAAGGCATGTACCACCACAGCCTGGCTGTTTAGCATTTATTTATTGTATGTGTTAGCATGTGTGTGCCATGGTTCACATGTGGAGGAGGTAAGAAGGCAACTTGCAGGAATGGGTTCTCGCGTTCTACCATATAAGTCCTGGGGGATTGAAGTCAGGCTTTCAGGCTTGGAGCCAAGCCTTGTCTGCTGAGCCATCTTGCCAGCCCAGGGGAAGAATTATCTGTAGCTAAGACGATTGTGGAGCTGTGAAAGGTTTGAAGCTTTAGTTATTTGCCTGTTTGTTTGTTTGTTTGGGGCTTTAAAAGGATCTATGTATTCTGTATTTATGTGTATATCTGTGTGCCTGTATGAGTTTATGTGCACCCAAATGTACCAAAATCCCTAGAAGCCAAAAGAGGGTGTCAGGTCCCTTGTAAATCGAGTTGCAAATGGCTGTGAGCTGCCCTGTGGTGCTGGGAATTGAACCTGGGTCTTTCAGAGCAGGATCTGCTCTTAGCCACTGAGCCGTCTCTCTAACTCCCTGTTTTTTTGTTTGTTTTTCGAGACAGGGTTTTGCTGTAGTATTAGAGTCTGTCCTGAAACTAGCTCTATAGACCAGGCTTGGCCTCGAACTCACAGAGATCCACCTGCCTCTGCCTCCCGAGCGCTGGGATTAAAACTGCTCAGCTTGTTTTTGACTTTTTGATACGGGGTCTGTGTAGCTCAAATTGGTCTTGAGTTTATGGGTACTCTTGCCTCAGTCTCCTAGGTGTTGGAATTACACACACACACACTGTCCTGCCCACCTTTCTCTGTTTTTTACTTTGGTTCACAGGTAGCCTGGCATTCAGAATGACACTGAGCTCACAGAGATCCACCTGCCTCTGCCTTCCCAGTGCTGGAATTAAAGGTGTGCACCACCACACCCTGATTAGCTTTTTTTGTTTTAAGCATTTCTTTAACACCAGGAAATCAGGACCCTTGCGATGGGCTCCCAGTCTCCACAAAAAGTGACAGATACAGTCTAGAAATTAAGAAATAAAAGTCATTCTTTGTAGATGTTTTATGTTTTACAAAAGAAAACAAGAAGTAGTGGCATTTCATTTTATTTTAATAAACAAAACTTGCCTGAGGATCAGAAAAGTAAAACAGCTACTATGGCCAGCCTTATAGACCAGGCAGCAATGACACACACCTTTAATCCCAGTAGCCACACTAGCTTGCCACAGAAACCAGGCGGTAGTAGTGCACACCTTTAATGCCAGAGCTAGAGAGGATAGTAAGATGGGAGGAGACAGCTCTCAGACACAGTCTCATTCTGAGGTTTCCTGGAGGCAGGATCGTCATTTTCAGATTGAGGTCGAAGCAAGAGCCAGTGGCTGGCTATTTTGCTTTTCTGACTTTCATGTTGAACCCCAATTTCTCTCTCTGAGTTTTTATTAATTATGCTTCATTTGGTGCCCAATGTGGGGTCCATTACAAGAAGAAAAAGAAGAAAGAAATTCAAAACAAATAGCTCACAGAGAAATTATGGGGTAAATAACTAATAGGAAAATTATGCAGGAAAGAAAGAATATTAACACATTTCAGAGAGGGTTGCTTCTGGTCGGAGAAGAAAAACAAATCCTATTAGAGAGGACTTGGCTGTGGCCTTAAGGTTACTAATAGTGTTACATTTCCAGTTTTTGTTTTGGTTTGATTTTTTTTTATTTCTTTTTCTTCCCTCTGTCTTTAAAACAGGATCTCTGTGTAGTTCTGGTTAATCTAGAAGTTGATATGTAGACCAGGCTAGTCTCCTAAATTTTGGGATTAAAAGTATATACCACCACGAAGGCTGCAACTAACTATTTTCCTTCTTTGCTCCTTCTTTGCTCTGAAAAGTCCCAAGTTGATTTCAGCTGCTCGCTTGTTTAGATGAAGTCGCTCCTCAGTTTCTCTTGCTGTGACAAAATACTTGAAACTGAATGTTTATAAAGAAAAGAGTGAGGGGGCTGGAGAGATGGCTCAGAGGTTAAGAGCACTGCCTGCTCTTCCAAAGGTCCTGAGTTCAATTCCCAGCAACCACATGGTGGCTCACAACCATCAGTAATGAGGTCTGGTGCCCTCTTCTGGCCTGCAGGCAAAACACTGTGTACATAATAAGTAAATTGAAAAAAAGAAAAGAAAAGAAGAGTGGGGCTGTAGAGAGATGACTGAGGGGTCAAGAGCACTGGCTGCTCTTGCAGAGGACCTGGGTTTAATTCCCAGCACCTACATGGCGACTCACAGTTGTCTGTAACCCCAGTTTCACACAGATGTACGTGCAGGCAAACACCAAAGAAAGAAAAGAAGGATGAGCGAGTTGGTTCTGCGAGCAAAGGATGCCAACCCTGACCCACCTGAGTTTGACCCCTGGCTCCCAAGTTGTCCTCTGACCTCCAGATGTGTGCCCTGGCACGTGCGTGCTGCACACGCAATTAACAAATAAAATGCAAAGACTTGAACTTTAGGAAGAAAGAAAGCGCTCTGAGGGCGGTTTTGTTTCTGTTAGGGCCTCACTGTGCAGCCCTGCTCACCATAAACTGCGGCAATCCTCCTGCCTCAGCCTCCCTGCTGCTAGGATTACAGGCATGTGCTACCATGTCAGGCTACAAAAGAGATTTTCTTAGCTTTGCTTCGGGGGTTGAAGGTCTCAGAGTAGGTGGCCCCATCAGTTCATCCTCTAGGAGCCCCTTGGTTGGATCACAGTATGGCAGAGAAGTGGCAATGGAGGTGCCACCATGCCATCCCTTCTGAAGGACAGGAAAACAGAGAAAGAAGAAACTGCTGTGTTCAGAGGCCAGGCACATGGAATGGTCTTTCCACACAAAGTCTGAAAGGGACCGGGGGTGGCCCAGTGAGACACCCTGTCCCCTGAAGCTGGAGTCACAGGTGGTCGTGAGCCACCTGACAGACCCCAATGACTGAAGAAATCAAACGCTCAACTGCGTGTCACTTTCCAGTCCCAAACAACCCACTCTTGAGGGAACTGGCCAGGGTCCCTGGAGGACATCGGTCCCTGCCGCCAGCCACCTAATTACTTCCCACTAGGCCCACCTTCTTAAAGGGTCTGCCACTTCCCAGCTTAGCCCCCTTAGCACATCCACACCTCTGTGGGCACACTGCAGCCTATCCAGACCATAGCTGACAGGTTAGGGAGTAGACTCACCCGTCTTAGGCACATCTGCTTCCCTCATACCATATTTGGATTCGGTTTTAAGACAGGGTCTGGAGTGTGATGGCATACTCTTGTAATCTCATCACCTTGGAGGTAGAGGCAGGAAAATCAGAAGTTCAAAGGTTGAGACCAGTCTGGGTTTCATAAAACCCTGCCAAAAGAGAGAGAGAGAAAAAAAAGAAGGCCCAGGTCTCAGTGTTTAGTTCAGGTCTCTTCAGTGTTGGTATTATACACAGGTAAGACACTTATAAAGCATTTATAATTAGCCACATAAAGCGTTTATCTTATTTATTTTGGGTTTTCAAGATAGGATTTCTTTGTGTAGCTAAGGTTGTCCTACAAATAGCTCTTATAGACCAGACTGGCCTGGAACTCAGAGATCTGCCTGCCTCTGCCTTCCCAGTGCTGGGATTAAAGGTGTGCTCCACCACCGCCCAGCGCTTTTTTTTTAAATTAATTTTAAAATGTATTACATTTAAACTTTTTGGTTTGTGTGCATGTGTAGTGCACACATGTCATGGTCTACTTGTGGAGGTCATAGAACAATTTTATGGAATTTCTTTATTATCCACCTTTATTGGACTCTGGAGACAGAGCTCAGTCTTTAGGCTTGACGACACATTTACCTTCTGTGCTGACTCTCCTGCCCCACAAATAACTCACAGAAGAAGACGAATGAATACACCTGTCATCCTAGCAAAGGCAGGTGAATCTCTGTGGGTTCAAGACCAGCATGGTCTATGTAGTAAGCCAGTGTCTCAACAAATATCGTGTACCCAGACTGAGCTGCACAGTGAATCCAAGGTCAGCCTCAGCTACACAGCCAGAAAATCTCCAAATCAAAGAGACCACCAAACAGCTAATCCCAGCACTCGGGAGGCAGAGGCAAGGGGACTCTGAGTTTGAGACTAGCTTGGTCTACAGAGTAAATTTCAGGACAGCCAGGGCTACACAGAGAAACCCCGCCCCCAAAAAAGAACAAACCAATGAACAAACAAAATCCAATGAAAACTGTCATCCCCTCCTTTGACTAAGTTCATACCATATTAGACATGCCTATGCCTAATGCATCCCCCAAATCCCTCTTTTCAGTGATGGGGACTGAGCGGGTGCGACCTGTTTTCTCCAGCAGATACTGGGGGCCATGGAGTCTCAGGTTGGGGGGGGGCCGGCCGGCCCGGCCCTGCCCAACGGGCCACTCCTTGGGACAAATGGAGCCACTGATGACAGCAAGACCAACCTCATCGTCAACTACCTACCCCAGAACATGACACAGGACGAGTTCAAGAGTCTCTTCGGCAGCATTGGGGACATCGAATCCTGCAAGCTGGTTCGGGATAAGATCACAGGTGTGGGGACTCTTTCTGTGTGTGGCCTCCGGTGGCAGGCAGGGAGGAAGTACCCTTGGAAAAACTAGTGACCTAGATGGGGTAGCTCAGGATGGATGGAGCCAAGTGGTTCTCTAGGGAACACATAGGGAGGATAAATCCGAGTGGGAAGCTAGAGTCTGGCAAGGTGTGCTGGGGACACTGGGCAGACGAGAGAAGTCACTCTTCTGTCCTCCCGCAGGGCAGAGCCTGGGCTACGGGTTTGTGAACTACTCTGACCCCAATGATGCAGACAAAGCCATCAACACCCTCAATGGCCTCAAATTGCAGACAAAGACCATCAAGGTGAGTGTCCCCACCCCATATGACACCTGCCCCTCACTGTTGTCTCCGCCCCCTGCCTCCTTCCTTCTGAAGCTTTGGTTCTCTCTCTTCCTTATTGGTCACCCGGCTTTATTTCTCTGAGCCTGGTCCCTCACCCATCAGTGTGAGGGATTACTATTATTTTACTATTCTGTGTGTATGTGTGAACAGGCACACATGTGCCCCTGTATGTGTGAACGCTAGAGCAAATGTGGGAATTGGTTTTCTCCTTTCACCTTGTGGGTCCCAGGGATCAAAATCAGATGGTCAGCCTTGGCACCAACTGCCTTTACCAGCCGAGCCACCCCCTTGACTGGAGACATTACTAACAGTAAGAAGACTTAGGGAATCTGCCAGGCCCAGGAGGTAGGACAGAGTGACCAAGACCCCACAGGCAGACCCCTCCTTGTCTTTGTACTGGAAAAGGAGGTGGGGCCCATCTGCCATCTGGAATCTAATTAGGGACTGGGGAGGGGGTAGGATGCAGCGCCCCTCCCCCACCTTTGTGCCTTGCCCCTCCCCCATGCCCTCCCTTCTCAGCAGCTGCAGCTGGGACCATGTGAGCCCAAGTTCCCTTGGGAAGAATCACCATGGAAACCCCCTCTCTGAGTTGGCCTGGGGGTGTTTGGGCTCCACCCTTCAAATCTGCTCTAGGACCCCTGGGGAGGCCAAGCTGAGGGTGCCCATCTGGCACCCAATTTATCATGGGAACAGAAGTATAGGAATCTTTTCCTTTCCCCAGAGTGGGGGGAAGGGAATAATGGTACCACTGGATGAGTCTGTGTACTGTAAGCTTGATCCAGAAGCCCCAGGGGCGTGAGAATAGACCCCAGTGACTGTAAGTAAATCTGCAGGTGTGTGCAAAGCAGCAGATTGTGACTCCGCACTTGTGGGACACAGTGACTGTGGGTGACTGTTGTGAGACGGCTGTGGGGCTGGGAGTGTGGCTCAGGGACAGAGTGCTTACCCAGCCTGCCTTTCATCTGAAGCACGGACAAATGAATGATTAGGGGCGGAGCCTGGAGAGACAGCTCAGCTGTTCTAGTGCTTTGAAAACCTGACTTTGATTCCCAGAACCCCAATAAACAAGCCAGGTATGTAAAGTCAGGCATAGTGGCATATAACTTTAATCCCAGGACTCAGGAGGTAGAAGCAGGCAGGTCTTTGTGAGCTGGGCCAGCCTGGACCATACAGCAAGTTCTAGGTCAACCATAGCTATATGAGACCCTGCCAAAAAAATGAAAAAGGCAGATTTGGTGGACTTTGCCTGTAACCCCAGTACTGGAATGTGAGGCAGGTTGACCCCTGACCTACACACACACTCGTACTCATGCACAAGATTTGGGGACTGGGGCTCAGTTTCTGCAAGTATTGCCTACCCAGCATGCATGGTGGCCTGGGGTTGGCTCTCCAGCACCACATACACTGGGCCTGGTGACACAAGCCTGTGATCCCAGCACTCTAGACAAAGCAGCAAGAAGATCAGAAGTTCAAGATCATCCTTGGTTTCACAGCAAGCCTGGCTACACAAGACCATCTCAGAAAACATCAGACAAGACAACTGTGTGTGGAACCTGGTGTTCGTGTGACGTGTGCTTCGTGACACCACAGTTCCTGTTGTGGCTTCCAGGGTGCACAAGGGGATGTGTCTGTTGCAACAAGATATTGTATGGCTTGGTGTGGTTGTGTGTATGTGTGTGTCGGCCTGGGCCAGGTTTGTGGGCTATGCTGTGGGGTTGGCATGCGGTCAGCACCTGATGGTTTTCTTACTCTAGTTCTGGAGGTCTCGATATTGTCAGTAGGGCTGTGACTTTATGAGACAGCCTCTTGCTGGTTTTCTCACGACTATGTTGGTCAGGCCTGAATGTTGTTGCCCTGGCAGATTTGGGCCAAAATGGTTTCAGCTACTTGGATGCCCCAGGTTCCATCCTGGTGTAGGGGGTACAAGAAGAACACCAAAGCCCATCCGAGTATGAGTGACAGCTCACAGAGCTGGAAACCCAGAGTAAACTGCACAGCCTGCAGGCAGCTGCACAGGTTGGAGAGCATCCTTCCAGGTGCCCAAGTGGCCTAACCCTCTTCCAGGCAGCTCGGCTGGTTTCTGCTTCTCCCAGGCCAGGTCTTCCTGCAGCTCTGTTCTGCAAGTCTCAGAGGAATGCTCACTCTAGCAGGGAGGGGCCTGCTGAATCTGGTCAGTTTCAGAGACTTCCTGAGGCTGGTTTGAGTTATTTATCTTCCTGCTTGAGGAGCTTCTGGAAGGATGGGATGTTTCAATCTCTGAGAAAACTGTAACACGACCTGACCTCTTGCTCTTCCATTCTGCGCAATGTCTGCCCCTCTTCCGCAAAGACCTCTGAGCCTTGGTGGGGGTGACTGTAGGTGCCAACCTGTGGCTAAGAAACAGGCCACCACGCCACAGGAAGTCTCTTGTTCTCAGGAGCTTCACAGTCATGAGTGGAGGGTGACAACAGTGATCTATGGTGCCACCACACGTTTAGAAGGTCTGACAGGCACATCGTACCCGTCTAGAAGAACCATACAAGTCACCTCCCCAGCCACAGGTGTCTGGTTTACAGTACCAGACGTACTTGTACTCTCTTGTGGAGCTGGCCTTAAGTCCAGTTGAATGGCTATTGTTCTTGCCCATATTGACTGAGCAACTACTGCACAATCAGGCCCATCCTGCCTCGCGCGTCAGTATTTCAGCACACAGGGTCCACAGACACTCAGGAATGTTGAGGACAGTACACCACCAGCAGCCAGCATGTGGCCCCTTCTGGCACTGTGTGAGCAGGCAGCAGATGGGAGCTTGCAGTCCAGTCCCAGGTTAGTTTCCCCATGGCCTACAGTCGGAGCACGAACTGCGGTGTCTCCAGCAACAGGGTGTCATGTTTAGTCCTGGCACACAACCGACAGCAGGAGCAAAGACTTCACGGTTTGTAGGGCCTCGCTGGCCAACAACTCACAGGGAGGTAGCCCACCCTTGGTTCTAAAATTTCCATTCACTGACCTTAAGGCATCTGGGAGTGTCCTTTGGGATTTTTTTTTTCAGTGAACCAAGTCCCATAGTGTTGTGAGGTAAGTAGCAGACACCTGGTTGTCTGTCTCTCCAGTCTTTCCAAATCTGCAAACCCTCAGAGGTTAACATTATGTCACCTGTTAACAAGGCTTTTTTCAGAGACTACACAGGACAAGGCAACATCCCGAACCCCCATCGCACAACCTTTGTGGGGTTACAAAGACAACCGTGGTGAAGCACTCTGAAAGTCTGCTGTCACCTGTCCTCAGCAAGTGCCAGGTGATCTCAGGAGTTCACAACTAGGAAGACACCAAAGTAAACATAAGCAAGGTCTGAAACAGCACAGAAAGGTTCCATCCAAGCCAGGCGGTGGTGGCGCACACCTTTAATGTCAGCACTCGGGAGGCAGAGACAGGCAGATCTCCATGAGTTTGAGGCCAGCCTGGTCTACAGAGCTAGTTCCAGGACAGACGAAAACAAAACAAACAGAAAAAAAAAAGAAAAAAGAAAAAAGTTCCATCTATTTGTACCAGCTGCTTCCTTCACAGATCAAGGCTGGGTACAAATCATGGATAGGAGACACTAACTTAATTAGCTCTCTGTAACCCTCGGTCACTCTCTCTGAGCCATTACCTTTCCATATCCCAGAGCTCTTCCACAGAGCCACCCTACACCTCTCCACCCTAACCTATCAGTGGCCTGTCTTAATCTGCTCAGCACTACTCAGGGCCACAGGTGAATGTGGTCCAGGTTCCCCTGCTGCACCCGCAGGCTCCCTGGGTTGGCACAGTGGCTGTGGCCTCCCCCTTCATCATTCCTGGCTGTTCAGGAAGTTCCTGACTGGGCAAACCATTTCCACCCCTAACATAACCTTTTGCTGGAGAGAAATGTACACTCCTTAGTGGGGGAGGGGGGGTAATCACCCAGCCCTGGGGCAGGCTTGACCGTCCTCACCTGTCTTGTTCCATCACGGTTCTGTGAACTGCTCCTCAGGCTCACAGCCTTGCAGAAGCTCCTCAGCACACAATCTGACTCTGTCAGTCTTTTGCTTAGGAGCTCCAGCTTGCCACAAATCCTACTACATCTGTCTCTGAGTAGCCAGAGGGCCTCTGCCTCTGCCTTACGTTTTCCGGCCCCCTCTAGGTTGTTCTTTTACTTATGAACTTCCTTTCCATGCTGGTCTAAGTCACTGAGCTGTACCAAAGCCTTTCCTACCCCACACAGCCCTTGCCCCACCAGAGAGCTCAGCAGAGCCACTAACGCTCCACACCAGCCTCCAGGTCCCCGCTGGATCAACCTTTCCCCTAACTCCTCTGTGAACACAGTTCCAGCTGGCTCAGTGGACTGGGGTTCCCACACAGCTTCTCTTGCTCCAGGTTCCCTCATGAGTGCCTCTCTCTCCTCAATTGCCCTCCATTCCCGGACATTTATGGGGACCCCAGATGGAGATTGTCCTAATGGCTCTGTCAGTCCGTCTGGGACTGCCTTCTCTCACGCCGTCTCAGGGTGTGCAGCCTCTGCCTGGAGGGGTGAGGAGCTATATGACTCAGTTTCCTCCCTCCACAGCAGTCTGGCTGCTCCCATCCCCTCTCCTGTCCCACAACCTCACAAACCCAGGCTGTGATAGGTTCTTTCATTGCTGGCTTTAAAGCCCTCCTTGACTTCAGAAGTTCGAGTACTGAGTATTCCAAGTCACACCAGCTTCTCATACTGGATCACTGGAAGGCCCCTCTGTACATCAGATCACAGATTCCCCTATTTTCCGACTAGAGTTTGGACGTGTGGAGTATCTTCTCTTTTCCACCTCTCTCTCGGCCCCTCCTTTATCTAATTTTCTCTCCAAATCCGAGGCTGACGAGGAGGCTGCTGCCGTTCCTTCTCCCTCTTGTTGCAATCGTCCTTCACACAGACAAGCTCCCGCTAGGCTGCCATCTCAGTCTCAGGTCACGAACTACACACAGCA